TATTCATTTCTTTTAGTTTTGAACATGTTATAAACGGTACACATACTATTCTGAGAGAATTTAAATATATCTCAGCTATACCATATAATAGGATAACATTTTTATTTAATCTGTGGAACAGTTTTATCTCATTCAAAGAAAAAGGTAACAGTCATGTTCAAAGTTCAATGTTCATGTTCAAGTTTCAATAGTTTTTTTTTTGCTTTAAACAAAATAATTAAACTTTCTTTTTTTCATAGATATAACTGTCGAAGAATTCTATACACTTGTGCAATTACTCTGTTCAGATTTTCCAAATGAAATATTATCTTACTGTCAAAAGTAGTTTCAATATATAAATTTAATATTCATTAATTTATTCACTAATATAAAATAAAATTTTTTTAGGATATTGAATATTGACAACAAGTCAACAAATGTTTATCCATACTTGGATATATTTTGTGCATTCCAGTTTACCTTTTACTTCAAAGTTATGTTTCTTAATTTAAATTATTTATTTGCACTATTTTAAAATAAAAATTTATTATAGAATTTGTAAACTCGTTGATTTGTGGACTAACTGACGATAATGATCTCTTCAACGAAAGTGAAACTGCACTGAATAAAGATGAAAATCATACCTTGGAGGTTGTTGATGAATCAGGTAATATGAGTTATATGTAGTTGGTAATTTACTGAATTCATATGAAAGTACCATGTGTAGATGTTGGTTATTGGCCTAAGTGATTGATTTTTAGTTAGTTAGTCCCGAGTTCAAACACTTTTGTACCTACTTCAACTTGGGTATCTGGGTAGAAGTATTATATGCCTTCAGAGAATAATTGTGTGTATGGCTCATAGTCTGGCACATGAAGGATTTGTTCCGGGTAACTGACTCTAAGACCAACAAAAAGCATCTCACACTACGAAAGTTGATATAATCAAAGCTGTTCAATACAAATCAGAACAAAGAAGAAAATTTTATTAGGTGATTAGTAAAATAGATAAATATATACTCTCCGATTTGGGTCCAAGTTAGTGCTTACACATAAGGATAATCCCTATGAATCAGGTGATTTTATTTGATGGATTTTTGAAAAAGTAGGAACTTGTTATAATTGAGTATTACCACAGAAAACATGTCACTGTCAACGGGATGAATATATAGAGAAAGTCTCGTCTTTTACCTAGCTGGGAAGCATCGTCTCAGTTACAGGCGGCATGGATGAGAATGTCAAAGCAAGCCAGGATCGGAGTGAAAAAGTAAAAAGGCGTTCGTTAGTCTGAAATCAGCGTGGAGATAAAATAGAACCCAACACAAAAAACAAAATCCAAATTCTGAATACTGTTGTCAAGTCAGCGCTTCTATAAGCCTCAAAGATTTAGTACTTCAGCTAAAGCATTTCCAGCAGATTTCAAAAGACTTTCATCCGTCAACACTTGCCATCACGGCTTCGATACTAAAGGTCGAATGGCCAGCCGGAAGGGTAAGAAACAAGGAACTCTAGTAAACAGTGAACCAACCAACAATCTATCGCCAACCCGACAAATATATGGAAGCAAATGGAGTTGGATCGAACATTACCTATACAAATATTAGATAAAAAAATCAAAATAACGTTAAACAAACTAACGAAATCAGGACAAATTACAAAACAAGATCGATGGCAAATAAAATCTAACGGACCTATTTTACCTCAATTTTATGGTGGACCGAAACTACACGATCACACGACTTTGACACTTGAGTTTTATTTGTTCGAAACTACACGAATCAAACATTCCCTTACGACCAATCGTTTCGCTTCCAGGAACACCAGCATGCAATCTATCTAAAGAACTTTTCAGGAAATAAAAATACCTAACAGAATCATGCGATCATTCTATCAATTAGTCAATCCAGTCCTTTGATGTCACTGCATTATATACTTCAATCGGTCCAAGACTAACAAAAGAAACTGTTCAACAACTACTCTATAGCGATGAGAACACCAATAAGCAATGTTCAACTTGGATGGAACTCTTAAAATTATGTCTTACAACATACTTACAACTTAATAATAAAATATACAAACAGATAAAAGGAACATGAATAGGATCACCTATATCAGGATTAATAGCTGAAGCCATTATACAAAGATTAGAATTAATAGCTCTACCTATAATTAAATCAAAAGTCGGCATACGTTATGTTGACGATACATTCGTAATACCTTTTCTATCTCAACTTCATCGACGTTGAAAAGGCCTTCGACAGCGTCGATCGAGAGGTGCTTTGGAAACTACTTCGCTACTACGGGATGCCACCGACAATTATACATCTCATCCAGCAGCTGTACGATAATGCTGCATGCCAAGTAATCCACAACGGGAAACTTACGGAATCCTTCGAAGTGAGGACAGGAGTAAGACAAGGCTGCCTACTATCGCCAATGATTTTCCTGACTGCAGTAGATTGGATAATGCGACAAACAGCGGGCAATGAAGAAACGGGCATAAAATGGACTTCGCCGATGATATATGTCTGATTTCCCACAAACTGGAAGATGTGCAAGCGAAAAGCAACAAGTTGGTAGAAGAAGCATCAAAGATAGGACTTCAGGTGAACATAGATAAAACAGAGGTGATGCAGATTCCTGGATAACACCAACAGCAACAACAGCAACAGACAACGATCAGCATAAATGGGAGGAACCTGAAAGAAACAACCTCTTTTACCAACCTGGGAAGCATCGTTTCAACCACAGGCGGAACTGACGAGGATATCAAAGCCAGAATCGGAAAAGCAAGACAAGCTTTCACTACTCTCAAGTCTGTATGGAGGTCAACAGCACTCAGCATCAAAAATAAGATCCGGATTTTCAACTACAATGTGAAGTCAGTACTACTATACGGATCAGAGACTTGCACTGCGCGTCATAAAGAGCGTCTCAAACAAACTACAGGCCTTCATTAACAGCTGTCTTCCCTCAATACTCAAGATCGGATGGCCAGAAGAGACCAGCAACAGGGATCTCTGGGAGCGAACCAACTAGGAACCGATTGTGAAACAAATATGCAGGAAGAAATGGAGATGGATTGGCCATACTCTGAGGAAACAATGCATCAAGTGACATCACTAGACAAGCCATTGCTCGAGTGGGACCCAAAAGGAAAGCGGCGAGTTGGTCGTCAGTGCAAGGGTGACTTGGAGGAGGTCATGTGAAGAGGAGATGAAAGCGCGTGGACAGACTTGGAGCCAGGTGAAAACTCTAGCAGAGAACCGAACACAATGGAGACGGATGGCTGAAGCTCTAGGTTCCTCTAGGAATTAAAGGAAATAATAATAAAGGAAATGTGATTTGCAAAACATCCACAAATTAATGAAAAACACATCTGAAGCAATTAAATTCACAGGAGAAGAAGAATTGACCAACAAAATTCCATCCCTAAATGTCTTAATCAAGAGAACTGACACAGGAAATTTAAAAACACAAGTACTCAGAAAATCAAAGCACACAGATCAATTACTCAACTATAATAGTTATAAGCCAATTACTCACAAGAGAAACTGTGTGCACACATTGTTTAAAAGAGTTCAAACACACTGTAGCATTCCGGTGTTGAAAAGAATGGAGGAAAAATACCTTCTAACCGTCTTCAAAAAGAATGGATATCCGCACAATTTCATCAAAAAGTGTTTAAAATCGAGTCACAACACCAACAAGAAATCATCATCAAAGACTACAAGAAAATTCATCCTACCACATATAAAAATATCTCTGAAATAACAGCTAGAATACTAAAACCGTTTGATATAGATATAGCACACAAACCAGCCAGAACAATCATTTCATTCGATATGGTGCAAAGCGAAAGACCCAACAGAAAAAGAAGATTAAATTAATACCATTCACAAAATAAATTGTATGAACTGTAACAGACATTACATCAGCCAAACTGGACGTCCCCTTCGAATCAGAATCCAGGAACACAAATCAGCTGTGAAAAGACATGATATCTGTTCTTTCATATCAATGCATGTAGATAGTTATGGACATCAGTCTGACTGGGATAATGTCGAAATTTTAAACAGAGGAAACACCAAAAGTACCAGAAAATTCCTAGAAGCTTGGTACTCAAACGAATATGCGATCAAAAACATGTTAATATAGACCAAATCTACAAACTAATAAAAAGTAAATCATGTGACGAGAAAGTTTAAAATCCAAGTCAATAAAAAAATGATCAATACATATGTAAAGATGGTTACCGGGAGACGCAATTCTATCACTCATGAAAAATTTAAATCAGTTCACTGAAGATGTTGTCTAGAAGGACGACGAAAGCTCCGCAACTAAACCAACCAGCTCAGAGAACCCTACTAATTGCAGATCGAACATGCATTGAGAGAACTACTGAGTGATATCACAGACACGGCAGGCCACCGAGTGGAACCTGAATGAAAAGCGACAAGTCGGGTAACATGGAGGGGAGCATAGGAAAAGGGAATGAAAGTTTGTGGGTAGTTGTAGAGCCGACTGAAAATGATGAAAGACAAGATGTGCTGAGAACCTGTGTTTCACCGGGAGCTTAAGGAATGGATTATATATAATATTTTTTTTCATAATTTAGAGGTTGAATTATTGATTTGTTTTTTTCACCTTGAAAGCATATTAAACTCAAGTGGTCAGTACTCTATTCGTTTTTATAGTGTCATTTGTCCTTAACGGTCAGTGACTAACTTTTGTGTTCTGTGTACGTATAAAAATCAATAACCAGTATTTATTTGTTGTTATAATTTGTACCGTCCATAAGACTTTCCTCAGAGCACAATTTTTCTATGATAACCTTATCTCCTCACTTGGCTGTATGTCTTGAAAGAGGTCAACAATCTGTACTGTCTAGGTGTCCTTCCCTTTGGCTTTTTCAATAAGTTTTATCTTGTTTTGTAATTGTCATTCAAGAGTGTTGTTCATTCTGAAAGCCTTTTCCTTTAAATACTTGTTTCTCTACTAATTTGTGTATTTTACACAGATATGTCTAATCATCACAACGGACATAGATCTACAGTTACTGAATGTTGCTTTAAATCAAGCATAATTAAACAACTACCAGATAAATATGTGAATACATTAGAATTTCGTAATTTTACTCGGGATATGTACAACAACTCCACGTTTATGTAAGTAAGCGTTTTATAATTTATGGTTTCATTATATATGTTTATTGTGCCTTGAAGTTGTTTCTGTAGCAATTGGATTGATTTCTGCCGGGGTAGGCTGGCTAGCCCCACGCCTAACTTTCCCTCTTTTCCAAGGCTTAGGACCGGTTAGAAAAAGTAGCGAAGTTGTAAACTAGGCAATGTTCAGTTAGGAAACCATTTGAATTCAGCAGCATAAATAACAAAGTTTCAATTTTCAGCACCAGTGTTAAGTCAATAAGCTCTTCTATATGGGTCAGAAAGTTGCCACGAGCATCACAAAAGCACTGCATCGGTAGCACAGCGGTTAGGACTCCCACCGACCATGCTCATTGTCCGGGGTTCGATCCCCTGCCGACGCACACCTGATATCAATGGTCGGCCTGCAAAATTTGGGCTGCCGATATCACATGCTGAAAATTCCATACTTGTACCAAAAATACTGTGTGGTTTCGAGCTATAATAAGAAAAAAGCAGGCTGCTGCACACTTCTTTCAATATCTGCCTTCACTGGCTCCATAGTGAAGATCGGACGGCCACAAAATAATTAGCAACAAGAAACTTTCGCAATGGACAAACCAACCAAGAACTTATTGCTCAAGAAATATGTAGAAGACAATGGAGATGGACCGGACACACTCTGAGGAGAGCGTAGGGTAACATCGCTGGAGTGGAACCTGAATGGGAAACTGTTATAACTGTAGCGGAATTAAATGAGGAAGTTGTCGCCTTGTTCTGTCTGCGCCTGACTAATATCCCTATCTGCTTCTGGTACCTTCCGATTCAGCGAACCACGCAAATATCAAAAAACAAAGTCTGGTCTGTGACTGTGTATTGTAGTACAACAACTACGACAAACAACGACAAAGAAACTTATTTAGGAAATGGTATTTATACATTTTTACAACCAATACAGATAGCTAACAGTATTTGAAATAATTGGTCGTAATAGTCAATAACAAAGTGTGTGAGAATTGATGATATACCACTTATGCGAGATTAACAGTCGTTAAGATAATTGAACAATAACAAAGTGCCTGGGAAATGATAATATACCACTTATGCGAGATTAACAGTCGTTAAAATAAATGAACAATAACAAAGTGTGTGGGATCCTATCAGAAACGATGAGTTGAGCGTTGGTTCGAGACATAGACGAGACCATGTGAGATCATGAAGATTCCTGGACAAGAACAACAACAATAGACAACGATCAGCATAAATGGGAGGAACCTGAAAGAAACAACCTCTTTTACCTACCGAACTGGGAAGCATCGTTTCAACTACAGGCGGAACTGACGAGGATATCAAAGCAAAAATCGGAAAAGTAAGACAAGCTTTCACTACTCTCAAGTCTGTGTGGAGGTCAACAGCATTCAGCGTCAAAAATAAGATCCGGATTTTCAACTCCAATGTGAAGTCAGTGCCACTTACTGTAAGGATCATAGACTTGGCGTGTCATAAAGAGCATCTCAAACAAACTACAGACCTTCATTAACAGTTGTCTTCGCTCAATACTTAAGATCAGATGGCCAGAAGAGACCAGCAACAGGGATCTCTGGGAGCGAACCAACCAGGAACCGATTGTGAAACAAATAGGCAGGAAGAAATGGAGTTGGATTGGACATACTCTGAGGAAACCATCAAGTGACATCACTAGAAAAGCCCTTAAGTTGAAACCGAAAGGGAAACGGCGAGTTGGTCTTCAGTGCTAGGGTGACTTGGAGGAGGTCATGTGAAGAGGAGTTGAAAACATGTGAGCAAACTTGGAGCCAGGTAAAGACTCTAGCAGAGAACCGAACGCAATGGACACGCACGGCTGAAGCCCTATGTTCTTCTAGGAATTAAAGGAAATAATAATAATGTGAGAAGGAGATGGGGGCTTATAGGAAATCGTGGGGCAACCTAAAGACGACTACAGGGAATAGGAAAAAGTAAAGATGTACAGTTGATGCCATATGTGTCACTTGGATCCTAAGAGTACAGTAATAAAATAAAAAGCAGTATATGTTTATTATTTCCTAGTAGAGGTTTTCGCAATAGAAATTCGGTGGGATGAGGGAGAAATAATTCTTCCTTGTGTATTTGTTTTCAGGTTTCGTAAAAATTATTACCTTATGAGAATTAACTTCCTATGTCTTCATTAAACTCCCACTAGTGTAATTCAAATGTTGGCGCTATCAGATTACGTTACTGTCTTGTATGTAATACTGTGATGTATGCTACTTGTGAATGTTAAAAATTATGGTAAGAGGAACAGATTAAATAGGTGAATACTATAGAAATCCAGATGAAACTGAAGAAACTCAAGGAAAATACGCCTCAGATGATAGCACGTGTACTGTTTACATATGCATCGGTAGTACAATGACAGAATGTTTACCAACCATGTACTTGGCTTGGGTTCGACTCCCGACCGATACACGCCTAAACCTCACCCAATTGACTAGTCCAGAAAAAAGTGAAGGTTGAGTGTGAGACTGACAACCCTATCTCGTGAAATCAAGGCAGCCATTGAAACTTTAAATCTTGAAGCTCTGTATTCCGTTCAGAAGGCAAAGAATGGGAAAAAAAACTATTTATATACACAAGGTTATAACATAAGTATCGAATACCTTTCAACTATCCGATAAGTATTGAGCCAATAGTAAGGTGAGTCATGCGTTTGACCTTGATAGCTGTTTGGTAGCAGTTACCATGGTGAAGAATTTATCAACAAAACAAACTAAAAACTAACTGAAACCTAAAAAGAGAAAATAAAGTTAGATTTCGAATTGTTTACCATTAAAGTGGTGATATTTATACCTGAAGATTAAGGTTATAACCTTGACTGATATCTGATTATGAGACCGCATATTGATTTAGAGCCAGATAATGCATATTTAGCCCTATACTTTAATATATACATCAAACTAAGGTGCAGGATAACTACCACACTCAAATTATACTATTCTCGATCACTTTTATTAGCTCTTTCGATCTTGTAACACTGTAATTCTGATACATATACGAGTTAGATGATCTATTTTCAGCCAGTGGGTCATGGATTCGAACTCTGTTCCACCTATAGACATTTGGACAGCCGGTTGGTATATTTAACTCTCAGACAACATACATCACTCATTGTCAAGTGCACTAACATGAGTGTGTGGGTGTTGAGTAACCTGCATATATTCAGTATTATGCCTGGGATAAATAACTTAGTATCAGCAATTACTCATTGATTAAAAACATAACCATTTAGTTCTCCTTATATTTCCATAACCAACTAAGTCATGGATTTACACATACTTTACCGAGTGGAGCTGTGATACGGTGATCTTGACACTTGAATATTAGGCATTCGATTCTGTTTCAATTATTGCAGTCTGGGTAGCCATACACTGGGAATCCAACATGGTTCTGTCGGATAGCACTGATTTGAAGATATCAAAAGATTAGAGATTCTCGACCATAGGTGTCTCTGTTCATTTTTTTGCATAAAATGGAGCAATATGCTTAGTAATAATGAGGTTAGATATAGAGTACTGGGTATGGAGGGCAATTCAGATGATGAGGTTTAAAAGCTGGATAGATTGTGATTGCTGGAACGTGGGCTACGCACGAAAAGCCATCGTCTACCACGATTAGTCGTGTTAGTTGAAGTCGGATTACGGTGGGAAACAGGTAAGGTGGGAGATCAAACTAAAATATGATACTAATCTATAAAGTTTTTGATTGTTTGAGTCGCGTTTTTTTTCCTTCACGTTCCCCAGTGGAACATAGGGCTTCAAGCTAGTGGCTTGTAGTTTCTGTATCAGTGTTCATTTTACAGGACAGAGTTGCTAGCCTCATGCCCGACTTTTCCTCTCCACCAGCACTATTTATGGCTTAGCGAGGTAAAGGAGTGCGTCGGCCGGGGATCGAACCCCGGACCATGTGCATGGTCGGCGAGCGTCCTAACCGCTATACCACCGACGCGTAGACAGTGTGAATTACCTGAATGAGGTCCACGCAATTCTTAGTATGAATAGTCTGTGACTCTTCATGATAATAAGTGTTCTACAGTTATGCAGGTGTATTCAGTCTTCGTCACTAACCAGACTTTAGAACTCTTCACTAATTCTCATTTAAATATTTTCTTTCCTGTGACTTATGCTACTGACAAGATTAAAAGTAGTATACTGACTCGGACATAAATATGCACATCAGCTGTAAGAATATCGAATAGCGGAGAGCTGGATTTAATGAACGATGCTTATGAAACAACATGGAAAACAAAGAGGCACAATAAGAAAGACAAAGCAGCATAATATATGCTTATGTGCAAATTGTTATCCTGCTATACGGTAGACGTATTTTGCCTACATCAGTGTATCCGGTTGCCAATAAATAACAATAAATTCTCTCGTCTTCTGCCATTTCATATTTAGTGTTATATCATTACATTTCTTTCCTGCATTTTTATGTTTGTCTCATGGAATTGCGATGACTTGAACCGTTGCACTTTTATTCAGAGTCCTACGTTATGTCATTTTTATTGATGGGTGACTAGCAGTAGAATCCAAGAATCCTATTTGGGACTCTTCAGTTGAACGTGCATGCATCTCAAGTGAGTGATGGTGCTCCTGCCGAGACTCGAACCCTGCACTAGTCGTCCCAAATGTCAAAGCATTACCTATTAGGCCAGTGGCGCCATGACAGCCACCTCTTGTGCAATGAGTATTAGTTATTATTTGTTTGTAGGTTAATTTATGTTTGAAACGATTGGTGTAGGGTTCAAGTCTCAGTGAGAGCATCATTGGTTACTGGGAATGCAGATACCTCCGTCTGACGAGTCCTGAATAGGACGAAGAGCACATCCTGGATTCTATTACTAGTCACCATCAACTTAAAGTAACATCATGTTAATTCTGATACACTGTCGAAGTGTCTGTACAAGGAGTCGACATGTTGTTAACAAGGACCAAGTATTTCTGTTCAACGTAATCAATCGATAGGAA